TCTTCTGAATCTCTAGTTCTCTTTGAATAAGGAGATGAGACTAAGAGATCATCATCATCTCTCTCTCTCTCTCTCTCTCTCTCTCTCTCTCTCTCTGTCTCATACACACACACACACACACACAAATTTAGCACTCTATGTATCTATGTGTTTATCACTGTCATCCATTTGGCTCTTAAGTTAATATTTCTACTACAACAAGTAAACTGTTAGAGAAGTTTGGCTGGTTCCACCTAAGCATAATTTACCTCAGTATTGAAGAGTATACTTGAGCTCTATTAAAAATCCATGAATAGAACTTTATCTGACATCATTGGCAGCTCATTATTTTTCTCTCTGCTAATGACTCTTTCTAAGCAGTAGGACCTAGAAATTAATTTGAATGTCCCCAAAATGAATGATTGGCTTTGTATGAAGTTAAACTGCCAAGATTATTACGTAAGATATTGGACTTTAAGATACATTTTACATCCAGTGTTCATCTGGCCATGAGGACAGATGGCTGCTGTGTCAATGCCTACCTTTATGAATCCCTGGACAACTAATCAATGCTGGGAGCCAAACTTCTAGCCTTGCCAGGGCATTGCCCCACCTGGCTCGAAACCTCTGTAGACGTCCTGTCCCCATTATCGAGTCAACTTGGCAACCACAGATGACAGATCACAGATCTCTACTCCACTTTACCTGTACACTTTTAAAAACATTTCTTTGTCTTGCTAAAAATTTAATTAACTGCATAAGCAAAGATAACTTAGCTTATACACAGTTTATATAATTTGTTCATGAATTTATAAATCAGGAAAAAACCTTATGTTTTCTAATTTCTCATTCTGAAAATAAGAAGTTTATAGGACCAAGCTGGCTCTTCTTTGGCTCTCTCTCCTGTTCACATGACTTCATCATTATTCCTTCTATGTCTTACATTCAGCTACTCTTTTCCCACCAGCACCTTGTCCTTGTGACATAACCTCAACCTCTCCATTAGTTTTTGGAATGGTTTTCCACTGATTTTGCCTTACCTTCTATGTGCCACTGGTTTCTAAAAGTCTGTAGAAAAAGCTCAGAAGCTCCTGCCTCTCCTAAACCACCCTGACCTGTACATAGTAGAAGACCATCCATACCAAATCTGCCCCTTACAGGCTAGTGGAGAGTAAATCTGGTGGCTTCATTTCAATCCACATTGCAGCTGGTCTCTGGTGGACCAGACATCTTGGGTCAGACATCACACATGGCTTCACCTTGGTTCCCGCATGACCACTCTCTCTGTGGTTATCCATTGACCTTCCCATTCTTTCTCCTCCGTCCCACCCTTCCTCCCTTCCTTCCTTTTTATGTTCCTCTTTCCTTCCCCTACATTCCTGGAGATGGAACCAATAACCTCATTCATGCTAGGCAAGCACTCTACCACTGAGCTATGTACCCAAGTTTTTACATTTTATTTTGAGATGTTGCCCAGTTTAGACCAAACTTGTAGCCCTCCTGCTTCAGCCTCATAAGTAGCTAAAATTTTAGGCATGTATCACCACACCCAACTCACTGCCACATTTCTATTAGTGAGATTCTGTCACTTATATGTCATCTCTAATGTAAAACCTTTTCCCTTTTTAGGCTTGAATGAACCATTCTTGCTATTTTTCTCATCACTATGATGGCAGGGAATCGCGTTCTAAGTGCATAAAGTGCTTGATGCTATAATATGAGAATAATTCTTCTGTTGAAGAGTTTAAGGCCCAGAATGAGAGGAGCAGACCTCACTGTAATTCTAAACAAACCTCTCTGAAAGCACTCTCAGCAGCAGTAGTCCATGATCATAGCTAGCCCAAATTGCAGACTTTCTATGTGATATCAAACCCGTCACCATATTGTCTCAAATACCCCAACGACAAATATATCACAGGTCCTCTTGTTTTATTTATTTTACTTAATGAAATGCAAGCTGAAAATTTAACTTTGTCTCAGATGACACAGTTGGAAATGGTAAAGTCCACCCTCTACCCCAGAACCATTCCACCACAGAGCTAGATTTTTTAGCTGTGGGATCCAGGTGACTCACACTTTTGGTGAGTTCCTTTTTTATGTTCAATGGCTTGCTCATGTGCTTAGAGGTATCTGCTTCTTAATGCCTCCTGCCAGCTGCCTGGACTCTTTGACAACTTTATACAGGATTCTCTAGCACTGACAAACTGTTTGAACAACAGTTCCACAATAATAGCATTTTGTGTTTGGAACTCCCTCCACCACCTGTCTATGTGTTTATTTCCCCCTTTCCATGCCTCTGCCCACATCACATTTGAAGTTTCACTTCCCCCATCTGTTTTATCCTGCTAAATTTGTTAAGCCAAGCCCTGGGGGGCTGCATGCTGAGATATGACTCTGGTAAACAGAAAACCTTGTGCATTTGTACCCCATGGAGGTGGAAAACCCTTTTCTTGACCACAGGAGGGAAAAAACACAGCCATGATGGGCATGCCTTTGACCCAGCCTTTGGTCACATTCTGTGTTCATTGACTTAGGTGCATTATGGATTTTACCAAAGAGAAGAATCACATAGATTATGGACTTTCCCAAAGAGAAGAAGCTGTACTGCCCCCAGTCTGCAATCTCACCATACAGATTCGGGCAAATATGCTTCCTGCCTGCAGAACTGTGAATAGTTTGCCTCTGGCCCATTATTCCTCCTCTTGAAGAGCCATTTTTTTTTGCTTCAGTGTTTATTTCATCTTTATTCTTCAAGGCATTTTAAGAGAGCATAGAGTTCCTGGCTCCTAGTTACTTGCTTTCTTCAAAAAGAACACATCATTGCATTGTGGTTTTTTTGGAGAAAAGTCAGTATTTGACCTACTGTTTTCTGAATGGTAATATTTTCCCACCCACCCACTCCTCTGGGTGATTTTAATATTTATAACTTAGCTTTAGTTTTTAAAAAGTATCTTTCTATTGATCCTGCTTGGCTTTTGGGATAATTTTTATCAAATGATGTTTTCCTTTAGTTTTGGGAAGATTTTGTCAGCTTTATAAGTATTCCTTTTATTTCACTGAACTCTCTCGTCCTTCTAGGACCCTAATTAAATACACTGTAAACCTTTTCTATATGTTCTCTATGCATCTTAACCTTTCCTCTAAATGTTTAATCTGTGTGATTATCTGTGCTTTTTAACAAATAAATTCTTCCTACTTATTTTTCAGGTTGTTATTTCTCTCTTCATTTCAGTCTAGCCTCCCCACCATGAAAAAGAATCTATAATAATAAAAACCTTTGTCTGGGGTCCTAATTTTAGCTATAACATTTATCATTTTTAATTTTTCAGTTGGTTTTTTTTTTCATATTTACAAAGTCATTTTTTATAGCTTGCAATTTTTCCTAAAAGACTTTAGTTTTGATCTTTATCTCCATGACTTTATAATCATAGTTGTTTAGAAACCTGTGGTTAGTGCACTCAATGTCCAGGTATGTTAGTAGGTTTGCTTCTAGTGACCTGGCATTGCAAAGCAGTCTCAGTGAAGGCTGTTTGGCTCTCACTTTACCTGGGATGTATGGTTGACTAGAACTTGGGCCCTAGTCAGTTTCTGAACTCCAATTTTGGCCTTCTTTGCCTTAAGAGGCTCTCAGAAGTGCTGCTAACGTCTTCTGGATTAGAAAATGCCCCATGGGTGAAACAGTTCGAAACACTGTGTTCAGATCTCTCAGAAATTTCATACTGTTTGAGTTCTTTGCTGCATTTAGAAAGATGTTTTAAAATTTCATATAAAGTTGTAAATTGTCTTTTTCAGTTGATTTGTTCCAAGTTAGCATTTTGAAAAGTGGGTGTCTTACACCCTAAATTTGTATGATGTTCTGCCAACTTATATACTAAAGGCTTATTTGAAAGGAATAGTCATAATTTGACTGAGCTTTTAGCAATGATTCAACTTTACAAAATACTACTTGAAATATACCCCATTAGACTGGACTACTTTGAAAAAATATGAAAAAAAAAAAACCTTAAATGTTCTTGAATTAAATTCAAAAGGAGCTAGCCAGTTGGGAATTGCATAAGAAACTGTCAGGAAGCTAAAACAGACAACTTCATTAACCCAAGAGAATCTGGTTTACATTTAAATGAAATGTCTGTTAATACAAATAATACCTGGAAAACCTTCCATTAGAAAATCAGTAATCCAAATTTTAAATTGAAAATAAAAGAAAAATAAAACTTAATTCATTCCAATAGTAAGAAACTTTTTATCTTATAACCAACTAACAGCCAGTTTTTCTCTTCCATCCCTAACTCCCATCTATTTTTTGCTACCCAAATATTAATTTGTTCAAATACCAAATCAATATATTTGGATCTCAAGAAAAGCAGAACCCTAGGGCTGGGGATGTGGCTCAGTGGTAGTTCTTGTCTTGTATACACAAGCCCTGGGTCTGATCCCCAACACCATGAAAACAACAACAACCAAAAAGCAGAACTCTGTGAGAACCCCAGAAGCTTAATAATATTTGCTCTAAATTAGTTGTGATAAATATAGTTTACTCTACTTCTCTGATCTCCTTTATAGCCAATATCTTTATCTTCTTTACTGGCCAATATCTTTATAGCCAATATTATTGGCCAATTATCTGGCCAATAATATGGGAGGGGGTTTAGGTAGAAATTTTTCTTTTCTAATTAAAACAGATACATATAAATACACAGAACAACAGCCAACACTATTCTTTCTCTCTTTCTCCTGAAGTGGACACACAAAGGATGTTCAGGGAAAACAAAATAGGAAATGTACAGCTGTCAAAAATGTTAGAGCAGACACTGAGCTGCCAAATAAACCTTGATACTGGCTACTTACTGTTTTTAAAAAGTAAAAAGTAGATGCTCTTATATTTTAAGTGCTCATAGTTGTCTTTCTTATGATTTGATCAGAAAGTACCTATAGCAAATAAAATTTCTAACTGTACTCATCTGACAATGTTTTGATCTATGTTTGACCGAAGACCATGCTTGAAATTTCTCATCACTTACCGTAATACAAGAATCTGGAGGTTCCAGGTCAAAGTCAGTGAAGTTCAAGAGGACACGGTGATTTTTTTCAACTTGAATGACCCAAGAACAATCAGCATTACTTCTATAATGGTTGGGGTAATTTGGAGAATGAATCTCTCCATTGGGAGTATGGAAAATCCCGCCACAACCTGTAAGTGGAAATCCAATTCAACAATGAGAGGAATCAGTGATGCATAAAACTATAGCATTATCTGATCTGGTAGTATGGTCAACATGCTGCTTTTCTTGACTATTAGTTTTATTTGGTCTTTGAAGATCTTTGAAGCTTTGAAGAACTGAGTAGTCATATTAATCCATTCATTCCAATAGAAATAAGAAAGAATGCACTGTATAACACTAAGGAAATGCTTCAAACATTCTAAATAAAGATGTCCAAGTTATTTAAAATACTAAAAAACTACAAATTAAATCATACTTTCATAAAACTATGAAATGTTTCTTCCTTGTTCTCTAATACAGCATATTATAAAAATAACCAGTTCCTTCAAAGTATTTATTAATCCCGTAATAGTTGATTTAACAAATAATTTAATATATATCTTTTTAAAAGTTTAAATTTAACATTCTAGATATAGTATAATTACTTGTGTTATTTTTAATTCCTATGATGTTATCAAATACTAATTGGTATATGTCATGGTATATGCCTGTGGTCCCTCGTCCTCATGAGTTTGCATTGTGCATTTTTGATGGTTCATTGTCTAGTGCTTAGATTGATGGTATCAGTGCTCCACCCACATAGGGGTGGAGCCAGGATGTGATGTAATGGCAGGAAGAAGGTATGTCTTGCTTTTTTCTGGTTCCTGCTTGCTGTTTGCAGCCGCCATGAACTGCATGCGGCTCAGCCATGTCCGCCTGCCTTGGAGCCAACTGAGTGTGGACTGAAACCTCCAAAAACTGTAAGAAATAAACCTTTCTTTTCTCAACTTGGGCTTCAGCTATTTTGTCTCCGCAACAAGTAAAAAGTAACTAAGACAGTATAACATCTATCTCTATTATGATTGTTGTTTGAGCTTATAATGACATAAATCACTAGTAGAAACAATGGTATTATTTTCTAGTAATTAAGAATCTAAGCACTGTGTGTGTAAGACAGACTCCACGTGATTACTGTGTTACCTTGGAGTTAAATACCTTGGAGCTATTGGTGGCCTGGTGTCACATTTTTGTGTTGCCATTTCTAGCTCTGAAACCTAGGGCAAACTGCTGACTTAAGCTTCAGTTTCCCCACTTCTAAAATGAGGATATAAAATAGATTTCCTTCATAGTACAAGTATAAGTATAAATGAGATAATTCTTGAAAAATAGGAAAGTAGCTTGCATATAGTAAATGTTTTGTAAATATCACTATTATTAATAGTTTCATGAAACAATGTTTCAAATATTTTGTACCATAATGTATAATTTAAAAATCTGCAACAGTTAATTTATATCGACTAGCTAAAACTGCACAGAAAGTCACTATGCAACACACAATCATTTCTTGGAATTGACAAATTTTATATTTACAGAGTTCACAGCCAAGAATCTAAAGGTCTATACAACAGCATGAAGCAATCTGCCATTTACTCATGTGAGAATCTGAGGCTGGGAAATGGCACAAGTCCCTTGGCAAGTAAATCCGTGTGGCCAATCCCCCGATTCTGCTCTCACCATGGACTTGCATTCCTGTATCTTTGTTTTCATGTACACAGGGAAACGGAGAAAATTAAACTCTATCTCATTATTTAGGGAAGTGTAAATGCCAATGCAATATTATCCATTTGGGAAATCTGAAATTCATCAGGGACTTGATTCCTTTCTCCACTTACCTCCAGAGAGTGCTTGCCAGGAGGCATTGAAGCCTCTCCCATTTATGGATCTGTCGGTTTTAAATCGGATTGCTAGCTCATTTCCAGTGCTGGAGACCTGCATGGGAATCACAGATGACCTCTGGGCACACAGCTGGGTTAACCGGGGAGAGTGGAAATCAGGGCCTCCGTATATCTAAGACAAGGTGGGAGAAGGAAAGAAAAAAAAAGACTTAATGGCATACTGAAACAATTTCAGCCCTTCCCATTGCTCTTTTTTATCACTAGCTCTCGGAATCTATCATAATTAGAGATGGAAAACAGCCTCCCGGGGTAGGGATGAACTGTAAACTTGAGCTTTTCAAAGGCGCTCCCTCTGACCTAGGAACACACAAGTTGAATCACCCAATAAACCTCTGCTTGTTTTATCAGCCAGAACCACAGAGGTGGAATGAACGGATTGCTGCAGATCATCCTTGTCCCTCCTTTTCTTCTTTGTTATGTCTCTCAAATTTTCTACTTTCTCTGGTAATGTTGCAGATAAAACAATATGAAGGCTGATTTCCTAACTCTTACATATAGCTACATGTGAAGAGTCTTAACAGAAAACTATTTTATTTATAAAAATGGAGTTTCCTGAGGGCTACTAATTTTCTACTTAGATTTTTAAGGATTTTCATTTACCTTGCAAATTATTTTATAAGATTAGGCATCAAGTATACAGAGGGACGAGAAACACAATCTCTAAGGTGTGTTTTGCAGTACACTAGGAACCATACAGAAGCTGTACTGCCTTCCTGTACTCACTTGACCAACAGATCCATCTTCTACTTAGAACTCCCTGTACTCCGTCTTCCAAACCAGATGGCTCGCTCTAGATGGCTTTGAACATCCATGGCTCCTCCAAATCGCTTCTCTAAATCTGCCCAGTTATCTCTCTGCCTGGGATCCAGCTACTGGGTGACAGCATTACTCAGGCAAGATTTCCCTTGGTTACACCTGCAGGAGGTCTAAAACTCTGGTTCCTAAATCTGCCTTGGACCCTGCTTATCTACTATTTCACTCTCTCACTTTCTCTCTCTCTTTCTCTCTCTCTCTCTCTCTCTCTCTCTCTCTCTCTGTATGTGTGTGTGTGTGTGTGTGTGTGTGTGTGTGTGTGTGTGTGTTGAAGGTCAGGGTGAGAGGAATTAAATACTGAACAGAAACTATTGATCTCCCATCTCCAGGTCTTGTCAAGATTAAATTTGTGCAAGACAGGCCACATGGGGTGACAGTTTTCAAGTATATTGGCATCTGAGCCCTCTACACCCCACCCTACCCCATTTACAGGCCACAAATCTATGCTCAGGGCCAAAGCTAGGGAAGCAACTCTCAGGACGGTCTCTGCTGGGTGCCTTCCAATGTCTCCTAGGGGGCCCCCCAGGAACCCTGCCCACCCTCAGGTCCTCTGCTGACTGATGAGGAAATCACTCAAGAGTTCTTGGGGCAGAAAGAGTGAGAACAAGAAGCCTACTTTGGGGGAAGTGTGCATGATTTGAATCTATAATGATTTCTTTGTCTGATGAACTGCCCCCAACCATGCGGGAAAGGCCAAAATGAATGAAACTGCTGTTTCCCAGAGTGCTGAACACAAGGGCTGTAATTGCAAAGGAATGAAACAGGCTGACTGCTTCAGGCTTATTTTCACTAGCCCCTCAGTGCTATCAAAACCAGGACTTCAAGAAGAGCCTCCTGTGACCCTTTACACGTACACATATGCAAATAGAAGAAACAATATTGCTTCTTGTTGAGAGTTCCCTTCCTAGTTTCAGGACCCCTTGAGCCTGCTTCTGACAGCATGTGCTGCTCCTCATCCAAGCCCAATAACCAGCACATGTTTAGAAAGAACATTTAGCATAAGCACTAAATCCTAACAAAGAAAACCCACATGTCAGCAAAATACCCACTGCTTTTCCCTGCTCATGGGTCCCCTTGAGATCACAAACATAATGGGAATGAGTTGGCTGGGTCTGGAAGCCTCCAAAAGAATAAACACCGCCACTTTTGACATTCTTTGCTTTCCGTGCCCCTAGGCTGAGCTCACAAATGACCATTGCAGAAAGACCAGACTGTGCTAACTGCCCTCAGCAAGCAATTGTGCTGGCTTATTGCAATCAGTGGACTCCCTTTCTTACTGGATGCCAGCTCAGCCTCTCTCTACAGAGCTGTCTCACAGATCGCCATAAAATCAGCCCAGTGTCTCCATGAGCAAAACAATAGAAAGGCGATTTTAGCTTCCACACATCCAACTGATAGAACACAATCAAAAACGGAAAAAGATGGAAAGGTTTCAGGGTGTGGTTCATTCCACTATGGCATATGACTCAACTTTGAGGGAAAAAGAATTGTTCTGATGATTAGAGATTAAAATGTATTTTTAGCCAGTGTTCAGGATGGAGAACATTTCAAAGCCATGGTTTTAATCTGTTTTGAACATTTCTTTCTGCTCTGTTAGCTCCATTTATTATTACAATCAAGTCAGCATTCCGGAGTTATGAGTAACCACATGGCTGTTGCTTTACACACTGATCACTTCCCACGCAGTTGTTTTTGAGGGAAAAGATGACTTCTGATTAATTTGGTGTGTCCCACTAAGTCCTATAACTCATGACAGGAAGATCCTACTTGGTTGTGATCAGCAGAGCAAAGAAGATGAGTGTGCAGGCTGAGAAAGCCGTATTTCTAGACCACACTTCCATATGGGTAACAAATTTTGAAACCTACTGCCAACATGTTAGCAGCGATTAAGCAATGTAAAACCTTATTTTATCTTCACTAGCCCGAATTTATTACAGTATAGGGCTTTTATCTGAGTTGCGTAGAGAAGTAAAGTGAAACAAGGTTTATAAACAAAAACTCAAAGGGCTACTCCTTTCAGTTTAATGAAAAATACTTTTCACGAATAATTAGGGGCCATTAAATATTTCCCCAAACCATGATTTTGAAGGAATTTTAGAGCCCATTGCAACATTAGCTCGTCCTGACAAAAATAAACCTGGGTTTACTGACACCTTTCTCCAACATAAGTGAAAGGTCCTCTCCCTTGAATGCTGTTTGCTGCCCAGTTTCTGAACTTGTCCCTCTATTTTTTGAGGCTGCTAGCAAGCAACAACCTCTGCCTCTGCTTTCTCAAGTAATGGATGTGACAAAACCCAACGCACAATGAACCCATTTATACTTTGCCAAGTGGGCAACAAACATATCCACTTTGGAATATGAAAATGAAGGAACATTGCACATCACTGTGGACAAGCTGGTGCCAGCCCTTTGTGAGTGTTAAAGGGTTTTATGCACCAAGTCATATACTACTTGGCAAGAGAAATCCCTGGAACATTCTACACGTGAGTGTTAGTCCTACTTCACACTGTGTGTCAACTTCAGAAGGTACCTTGTTCTCGCCTCCTAAAATCCATTCCTCTTCTAAAATGGACTCATAACAGAAAGAAGCAATACTTCCATGAACACAAGGGTTTGTGTTTCATCCACAGCCTTTTCAGCTCCTTCTCAGATTTCATTTCCTGCAGCACTGTCTCCCTATAGAGAGACTTGGTCTATTAACTATAGTCCCTGGTGACTTCACCTATTCCTCAAGAACTCCATTCCTTTTTACAGTAAGAAGTTATTTTCTAATCAAAGATTTTAAAGCATGCCCTACTCAGTTCATCCCTCTGCACACTGCACACAGCTGTGGTTTCACATTGGTTTACATGGAGCATAAAGTAGTAGCTGGGTTCATTTCTTATCCACTTACCACATTTGTGGTCATGGAAAAGCACATTAATCTGAACACAGATATGGGGACAAAATATTTCTTTTACCTCATGAGATTATTCACCATGCAAAGGGAAAAATGGTTGCAAATGTTCCTTTGTAAAACATTACAACCACGCCTTATTTCAGGATGTCAGAGATTTGGCTGCTTTTGTTCAGAGCACAAAAACATTGAATGTTTACTATTTCCCAGGTACACTGGTACAAAGATACAGTAGTAAAAAGCAAAAACACCGCCTAAAGGAATGTAAGTTTTACTAGATACAGAATCCTTGACGGGATATGCTATAGCTATTTTTATAGGTGAGGAGATGAATTTTCTGTTTGTCCTTAGAAGAAATTAATGGATTAAAGTTCAGGAGATAGAGCTATCAACATATACCACATGTATGCCCTAATGACTATAGTGACACAATAAAAGCCTAATTATAATAAAGTTTAAGGATCAAGGCTTTCAAAAACCATCTTAGTTTTCTGAGTGTGAGACATACTCATTGCACTAACACTGAAAAGTTCTTATCCTCAAATACCTCACACTAAGTGACCATTTTTAAAAGCCTTTGCAGCAGGTGCACCCTGCTGACCCACCTCACAGCAGCTGCAGCTCTGGGGCCCAGTTCCTGTGCTTGCTGCCAGCATCTATCCTCCCCATGCGTTTTCTGAGAGAGTTTTTTCAAACTAAAGCATGGGGTTTTAACTGTCCCAAGTACAGTGTTCACCTAAGGGAACCAGAGATAGAGGGCCAATGGCTCAGCCCCGGTCCTTCAGCCCCGGACCTATGGAAGGTCCCAGAAGATTATGTGGTCTAGAAGCTCCCTCCTGACCCTCCCTTCGCATTGTTACGGTTCCCTGCCCTTGCTTGCTGGCCACCTCTCCTGACTGAGCTGGTACAGCTCTCAGAAGCTGCTTGAAGAGAAACTCCAGATTTTAATTCCCTGTGTCTATTGACACTATGGGTAAAGTGAATTAGAAGGCCTAATATTAGAACTCTGCTGGGCACTGGGAAGAATGTGGGGATCCCTTCAAGAGTGATCTCCACTTCTACCTCTCTTCTATCTTGGCAAAAACCATCTTTTCTCTTACCTCCAGGATGTCATATTGGCAAGTTGACTCATACTCTACATCAAAGTCATGGATGGTGAGCTGAAGTCTTTTTCCCGGGTCAGTGTGAATGTACCAGATGCATTCTTTGTTGGGTGGATAATTTCCAGGGTACCCAGGACTGCTGAAGGAGCCCCTGGCTCCAGACATTTCCCCACCACAGCCTGTTAAAAGAGCAAAACTCTGTCAGTTCAAATAGGGCACAAGCAGCGAGGAAAAAATAAAAATAAAAAAATTCAGCTCATCAAAGGTAACTAAAAGTATGCAGTGGTAGTAAGGAGAAACTCATGAAGTCATCATAGAGTCTACATAGTTATAAGACAGTGAAGAGGAACCGAGAGTTGAGTTCTGTGGCACAGTGTACGCTCAGCACGCACAAGGCCCAGAGCACCTTTCTCATCATAATAGAAAAATGAAAGAAAAAAAATAACAGTTACAATTTATTAAATCTATTTTTTAAAAAGAGATACTTATCATATAGCAATGTTTGGCTCACTTCATCAAGACTTTGATATTTCTATCAAAATGTCATCTAAGTTTTGAATTTTTCTCCACAATATTTAGGCGAGAATGACATAACAGAAAGTATAATGAGTTGGTGAGCAGTGTTGGTACCCTCATGTCTTTGGGTCTTCAGTTTCCTTGCTAGTATATTATTTCCAAGTTCCTGTCAGGTTGAGAACTAGACTTCAGGTCAAAGTGTTACCCTCTTCTTGAGTTTCCTGTCTCTTCTTTCCACTTGAAAACTTCTGCTTCTACACTTTAATAAAAGTGTTGCCCAAGCCAGGTATGGTGGTGCATATCTCTATTCTTGTCATTGTGGGAGGCAGAGAGAGGAGGACCATGAATTCCAGACTAGCATGACAATTAAGCAACTTAGCAAGAGCCCATTCAAAATTAAAAAATTTAAAAGGGTTGAGGAATTCAGCTCAGTGCAAAGATCAGTACAACAAACAAACAAAAATAAATAAATAAATAAATAAATAAAATGTGCTGTCCAGGGAAATATCTTTCCCATATCCTACAAACTTTCTTTTATTTATGGCCTATGCTCTATGAAAAATCTATTTAAAATTACATATGCTTCTATTGTTTGTAGACTGTGGTGAATGCCTTAAAAAAAAGTTTCATAAAGAATTCGAAAATATTTGTCATCCTATAACAACACATGGAAAATATTCCTGAAGCCAAAATCAGCAGATTAGACATACTTTCCATACCACTGCCCTACTCTAAGGAACACAGTCACAGTGAATTCCATCAAATGACCCCTCCTAAAGTTGGGCAACCCACTGTTAAAATGAAATACATTTTACTAAAAAACTTTATAGGTAAGTGAAGCTATTTTATCTCCATATGCAGTTCACGGGGTTCCTGATGTCTATCATATCAAATAAATAATCCAATGGAAAAAAAAACTTTGAAAGAAAATGTCTGTATGGGCACATGATATAAAAGAGAAGAAAATGGAAGCTTGAAAGTTTCATCTCTGCATTCTTTAGCATCAATTCATCAGCCCATCTAGTTCCACTTTTTTAAAAATCATAGCTGATTCATCTAAGACTCTGCATAAAATTTTCCATTTTCTTTTCCAATTTTAGGTTTTCCTTGTAAATTTTAGGTTTCCTTGTAAATTCCTTTGCAAATAATAGGATACTCCTAGCCTTATGCCAGTCATTGTACACTGCAGTGATACTATCCGATTCTTGGTGTGCAGTGATGCTTTTTCACAAGTGTCATTTATTCTTACATTTAAAAGAAATAATAAACAAGTTTTTTTTTTAAGGAGTAGAACGTGTATCAGCAGGAAAGTGTCTCCCTATTATGCCTATCGATTTGATCCTCAATATTGAAAAAAAGTTTGCTTTTTAAAAACGAAGAGCAAAATTGTACTTTTAGGTTCATCACATCTATCCTCATCCATAGCACATGTGTGCATCTGTTAAAGACAAGTTCCAATATTATCATAAATGTTCATCTGCTGGAGGAAATACTGAGTGGTTGTAAAAACAGAAAAGAAAGAAACTTCTGGAGCTTGAAGCCTTTGAAGTTTTGAACATCCTTCTTGTTCTCATTATTTGTGAATTTAACATCTGAAGAGGTAGTGCATTTGATTTCAAAGTTCACATCAAGTGCAAAATAGAATATGTAATCTGGTAAAATTTTATGGTCAAAACTAGGAAGTATTAGAAAGTAAAGTTAATTCTGATAATTATGGCACTAATTGAACTCTGTAATTGTAAATTTAAAAAAGTAAAATAACTTTCTAGTTTCACTCATACCATAGCACAAGTAATGTTATAGAAACTAAATATATGTAATATAATTTGAGAAAAAAATTTATTGGTATAAATTGTGCCATTACACACATGCCCTTTTGCACATAAAATGAAAAATTTCTGCTATTTTTAGAGTTTGCAAAGGGTAATTTTACATTTTAAAAAATGTGAATTATCTTTTATATATTAATTTGTAGTAAAATGCAAATAAGAAATGACTCATGTGATTGTGAGTCATGTTTTTAACTTTGGGTATATGAGCAGAAGTCATAGGAACTGCTAGGAGACAGAAAGGTGAGGATACAGAATATGTTATATCAATCCAATAGCTATGAGAAAATAACATAAGAGGTAATGTTTAGACTATCAATATCTTTTGATCATCATGTTTCCTGTGTGCTCAAAGAATAATAAAACACAAAAGAAATAGGAGTGTTCTTTATAACTAGATATCTGTAATCTAAAATATATGGGAGTCATTTCAGGGTCTACATAAAAAAAGAATAAATATAAAAACATCAATCAAGGAAGAAAGCTATTCTTAAAGACAAGATTTATATATTAGACGAAATAGAGAAAGTGACTCTTTGCATTCAATTAGTGATAAAGTTTGCTTATAGGAGACATGATATCAGAACATCTTAATTAATGTTAGATCAAAAAGCTTTCAGAAACTTTCTAACATGCCTATGGCATAAATCTAACATGCCTATGGCATAAGGCAAACTGGGTTCCAATACTGACTGTGACATTTATTAGATAATTAATTTTACAACTCCAATCCTCATTTCATCTATATCAGTATTAATTCTTACCACATAGAGTGGTTATATGGAACAAATTAAACAATTAAAATAAGTTTTGTAGCTAAGCTTATTGCATATGACATTCCAAACATGCTGTGCATTGTATCTTAACAAACTTTTATACAGGTATAGAACAAGATTAGAGAAAGGCTAGGACTTAGAAGAAAAATTACTGGTTAAAAATCCAATACTAGCTAACAAAGAGGTAAGAAATTGATAGTTCATGAAGCTATCATGAATGTTTAAAAAAATAGACCATATGTGCTTAATAGTTCAATGTATATGGTAGCGCTTTTAATAATTTAATGACATTTAAAATTCTAAACAATATGAGATAGGTAAGTGTCATAAAATTAGACCTAGCTTAGAGATGAGAAAAGGGAGCCTCTAGAGTGACTTGTGCATGTCCTCTAAGTGAATGGCTGCTTTAAGCACAAAACCCAGATAGTCTGACAGTCCCACCGCACCACCCATCTCTGGGTCTGTGTTCTCTACAGGATGCCTTGTTGACATCACCTAAGGGCATGGGAATGGCAAGGTTGGAAACTGCCTAATTCCTCTTCAGTACCTACTGACTAAGAAAAGAATCGCCATAGCAACTGGAAAAAAGTAAACAAAGCAAAAATCTCTTCACTGATTTTGAGACAAATCTGACAAAATGTAGTATGTTAACATAATTCTTACTTTAGTTGAACTGGAATAAAATAATGCTTGAAGAAGATCCTACAGTTTTAATTTTATGTTGTTAATCTTTACAAAACTTTTACTGGTGACTGATAATCTCTTTGATTTTATTTTCCTCCAAAATCCTAGTCATCAGCTGAAAGGAAGTTCTTACTTTATCAGCAGGAAGCACATTGATCTACTGGACTCATAACAAGGAAAAGTTTAAAGCTGTTGCTAAACCTGTTTACTTGTGTAGCTAATTTAAATTTATTCAAAAAAGAACTTTACAAATACTGTTTTCATTTTTGTTTAAAACAAGCTATGAACCATAAAAGAGTTAAAAATTTATGGTAGTGACCTCCTATATGTGTTTTATCTTCAAATGTTTGCTTGAGTGTTTTTAATAAAACCATATTAACAATCAACCAAATATGATCAGAGGTACAACATTTAAAAAGTAAATTCCACATTGCCCTACTACAGATTAAGTTTAGTCACTTCTTTATACTTGGCACTTTCCTAAAATTATAATTTCATAAAGCTACGGCATCAGAAGTGTGCAGCTTGAAACAGACTTGGTTGAAATCCACTGAGGCTAGAGGGAAAGGGAGACAGAAACAAGTCAACCAGGACCGCCTTGCATCTTGATCTTAATTCCTTAGGCAATGCCTGAGAATACCAGTGGATGCTAATAAGAAGCCAAAGGCCCAATGTATAGTAAAAGAAAAAAAGAAACACCATAATGATATGCTCATATACTTGGTTAAAATGATTGATATACTAACAGTTTTTCTACAGCTAAAAACCCTTGTCTGTTTTGTAATATCTTAAAGTTTTCCCCATTTGCATCTACCACACAAAAAAGCAACTTATGGAGGTTCAAGCTACTGAGGACTCTTGGGTACAGCAGGAGTAACGTTAACAGGTAACTAAGACCTCAGAATTTGAGGAAAGGCAACCCAAAGAATTGGGTAATTATTCCCTGCAGTATTTCATCTCTAGTATAACCGTAAGAAATATAGTAATGTAATTAAAAGGATTTTTGATGAGAAATTTACAAGTTAGAAAGGGTAGAGAGGTGAAGAAAACGAGCTCTCTAAAGTGACCAAACTTGGCTAAATTTCTGGTTTGATAGTATGTTAGTTCCCCAATAGTCTAAAAATGTATATATGCACTCTATAAAAGGATAGTAAATAAATGAAAGGAATACATCCCACTAAGAAAAAAGACTAAAACCAGGACATTAGTCCTCTCTCCCAAATTTACAGACACCTAAATGTTTACATTTGCAGACTGACTTTCTAAGGGATCTTATGGGTTTGCATGTCTCTCTGAGAACAGAGAAACAAGCAGAACTCACCAGCAGATGAAATCAGAAAAGAAAATTAGGTCATATAAATGTCAGGGGTTGGG